CTCCAAGTTCATTCTCATAATGTGTATGAAACCCTTTTTATTTTTAAGAGTGTAGACTTCGATGGAAAAAGTCCATAACTCGTTCAAGGCATTTGAGATTCAAAGATCAGCCCTATGAGCCACATAGGCCATTTTGTCCATACAACTTTACACACAGAAACAGCCTTTGCCCCCTTTTCTTTATGACTAAATTTTTACTTAAAATATGAAATGAAATCTTTAACATTTTAGAAAGAAAATCCTAAGGAGAGTACAACAATTTGTAAAGATTGTAGGATACAATGAAAAGATACTAAAATAATTCCATTTTAGCAATAAGCAAATGGAAGTTGAAATGATAAAAAGCAGTCCCTCTACAATAGTACCATAAACAAGAAATTCTTATGTACTATCAAGTATGTGTGTGTGAATACTATACATATGAAAACTATATAGGTAAACTATACTATGTGAAACTATGCTAGAAACTATAAATCACTGTTGACAAATCAAAGGAAACCTACATTCAACGAATCAGAATATTACAATTGTTATTTCTCCAACTAAAATATTCAACACAATCCAAATCAAAGTTACACTGGGATTAAAAAGCAGATATTATATGCCATTTTTAAATCTTAAAAGGGAAGGCAGAGTCACTACAACAGCCGAACAATAGGAAAAGAACAAAAGTGGAATACACACAGTATTGGATCCCAAGACTTACCTAACCCTAACTAATCAAGACAGTGTCATACTGATGAATCAATAAACAGAGGAAAGCAGAAAATGAATGCATTACCATGTGGTCAAAGAAATTCACTGAGGATAGTCCTACCAATCTAGAGTTCAAACAAGTGATGTTAATATACCAAAAAGAAAAGAATTTTGATTCACACTTGTAGCTTGAAAAAAATATATATAAACTCAAGCCAGGTGCTAGTGGCTCACACCTATAACCCTAACTACTCAGGAGGCTTACATCTGAGGATTATGATTTGAAGCCAGCCCTGACAAGAGAGAACGAAAAAGAAGGAAAGAAAAAGAAAGAAAGAAAGAAAGGAAGGAAGGAAAGAAGGAAGGAAAGGATATATAAAGGAAGAAGGAAAGAAAGGAAGAAAGGAAGGAAGGAAGGAAGGAAAGGATATATAAAGGAAGAAAGAAAGGAAGGAAGGAAGGAAGGAAGGAAGGAAAGGATATATAAAGGAAGAAAGAAAGAAAGGAAGAAGGAAAGGAAGGAAGAAAGGAAGGAAGAAAGGAAGGAAGGAAGGAAGGAGGGAAAGGATATATAAAGGAACAAAAAAAGAAGGAAAGAAAGGAAAGAAGAAGGAAAGAAAGAAAAGAAGGAAGGAAGGAGGGAAGGAAGGAAGGAGGGAGGGAAGGAAGGAAGGAAGGAAAGAAGTCTTATCTCCAGTTAAGCAGCAAAAGTTAGAAGTGGAGGTGTGATTCAAGTGGCAGAGTGCTATCCTTGAGCACAAAAACTGTCAGAAAGTGTCCAGGTGCTGAATTCAAGCTCCAGAACTGACAGACATGAAAAAAAGGTCTCAAAACAGATCATCATAGACCTTTAAACAGATCATAGACCTTAATATTAAAACAGAACCTTGTAACAAACTAGTGAACTTTTATTAGGCTAAGATCTTAGATATAACATTAAAATATGAAAAATAGACAAATATATTTCAGCAAAATTAAAGACTTTGCTTCTGTGAAAGACACTGATAAGACAAACAAAATGCAAATCGTATCTGTCAAGGGCCTTATATCTAGAACAGTCAAAACAACCCTTCACAAAACTTAGTAACCAGAAAGCAATACAGTTTAAAAGGGATGTAAGATTAGAACAGATACCTTTTGAAAGAGGAAGAATGGCAAATAAGCACATGAAAAATGTTTGAGAACATGCAAACTAAAAATCACAATGTGCTAACACTTAAGCATAGAATGTTCAAAAATAAAACAAAAATTGATAATAAAATGTAGAACATTTTGAGCCTCTTATATTTTGTTGATTGAATACAAAAGTAGGATCATTTTGAAAATGTTTATGGTTCTCTTATAAAAATAAAAGAGGAGCCAAGTGTCAGTGGCTCAGACTTGTAATCCTAGCTACTTAGGAAGTGAGATCTGAGGATGTGGTTTGAAGCCAACCAGGGAAGAAAGTCTGTGAGATTCTTATCTCCAATTAATCACCCCAAAATGCCATAAGTGGAGCTGTGGTTCAAGTTGATTAGCGCAAAAAAGAAAACACACACACACACACACACACACACACACACATGCACACACACACACATACACACACACAAAACTCAGGGACAGCTCCCAGGCCTTGAGCTCAAACTCATGCCCACTTACCACCAAAAAAACAGTGGTTTATCACATGCACCCACAATCTCATTCCTGCTTTTATGCAAAAGAAATGAAAATATATGTTTAAAAAACTTGAATGAAACTCCAAGAAATAAAAAGCCTGTATACTAAAAATAGTGATTTTTTTTACTGCACACATATACATGTTGCAGTTCAACTTAAAGAAAATACACAAGGGTCTCATATCTAAAATATACTTGGAACTCAAAAAATTAAACCACCCAACAACAAATCTGCAAAGAAACAACTGCCCAATAAATAAGTGGGCGAAAGACTTAAAGAGAAACTTCTCTGAAGAAGAAAGAAGGATGGCCAATAGACACATGAAGAAATGTTCAACATCCCTAGCCATAAAAGAAATGCAAATCAAAACAACATTGAGATATCACCTCACTCCAGTTAGAACGGCAAAAATCAAGAACTCAAAAAAAAAAAAAGCCGGAAGGGAAGGGGAAAAAAAAGAAACTTACTTCATTGTTGGTGGGAATGTAAACTTGTTCAACCACTTTGGAAAGCAGTATGGAGGTTCCTCAAAAGACTTCACATAGAACTCCCCTATGACTCAGCAATCCCACTTTTGGGCATTTACCCAAATGTTTACAAACAAGACCACACTAAAGCTACCAGCACAACTATGTTTACTGAAGCATTATTTACCATAGCTAAGATATGGAACCAACCCAGATGCCTCTCAGTAGATGAATGGATCAAGAAAATGTGGTATATATACACAATGGAATTCTATGCCTCCATCAGAAAGAATGACATTGCCCCATTTGTTAGGAAATGGAAAAACTTGGAAAAAATTATATTAAGTGAAGTAAGCCAGGCCCAAAGAAACATAGGTCCCATGGTTTCCCTTATTTGCAATATCTAGTATATGTCTGAGTCAAGCGGAAAAGGTCAGATAATGTGATGTCAGGAAAATGAACCCTTAGATATGTATTTTAATGTTTTTTCTTTCATGCATGTGTTTCTAACGCATTTATAAGATTATCTCTTTGTTGCTTTGTATGTCCCTCCCCCACAGTATAGCCCCTGCTTCACTATATTTGATGTCAGTATAACTTGTGGAGGAGATGGGGAAAAACCAGTTGTTTAAGGACACAGGTGGACCTGTTGCAACAATGAGAAGTACAAGTTGTCATGTCCAAAACGAGCTTTACAACGTCGGTGTGGGGGGGGGTAGGGGGGAAAGGAGAAGGATTGGGATTGGGGGGGGAGGGGAGAGACTGGGAAGGGATGTGAAGGGTAAACCAAGGAGGAGGCTGCAATGCTTGGTAAGAAATGTACGCATTATCCTGCCCATGTAATTGTAACCCCTCTGTACAGTATGTTCACAAATAAAATAAAATTAAATTAAAAAAAAGAAAATACAAATATTACAAATTTAAGAGGAAGAATACAATGATATGTAACTTATAAATAGAAGTTATTTTAAGATGCCAACTACCAACGATACACTTGGGAGAGAGGAAATAGAATGAGGTACTAATTGAACAGTAGTAAGTGGAATAAATACTTCTGAAGAGAACTCTGCTCTTGCTTGGCATGTGTCTTTGACATGCAGAGGAAGGAACATTACTTTCCCAATTCTCTACCTTTAAAGTAAGAACCAAATCATCTATTGATCTAATTAATTCTCATAAGTAGCACTTAGTGCTTGTTTACTTTTCTAACTTATGAGAAGAACTCTTTGCTTTTCTGTACCATAGGCTTGTTACTCAATCTCATGGTATCACTTTCTTACGGACACAAGATTTTATTTCTTAACACAAATCTATTTTCTCTTCATATAGGAACTATGGAGTGACAGACCAGCTTGTGAATAAAAAATTATACATATATGAAGATTCAGCAACCTAGAGATTAGGATAATTCTGATGTACTATTATAATGTATAGTGGTTTCTTCTGTGTTGACAAAAGTTTTACTCATCATTATTTTCCCCTTAAATTAAATTCCCACCTTTTGTATGTCATATACAGAACTGTAAGGTTCTTTAGTCTAGAACAAACTAAATGGCCTTGATGAAATGATTATAGGCCATAATTAATACTTATTTCCTTCTCTGACTTCTCTCCTTGGTTTAAGTCAAGAAACTTCAAAGTCCTACAAGAGAGAATTCTACTGGAGAGAATTTTTCATATATATGTCTTTGCCACCTAATAGCATCTAACATAGACCAAAAGCTTAAATACACTAGCTTGCTGATATAGTTAGCTGACCTTCCATTTTTCAATTTAAGGATAAAATCAGTTAACTGCAAAAAACTAGTCAAGTTTGACACATGCATGGGGTTTTCCAGAGCTTTCCTTGACCACTCGTTGTGGCCATTAATCTCTCATCCTATGTTTAATACATGCAGAAAAAATTTCTTTTTCTTTTCAATCTCCCCTTCTCTCCTTCCTTTTTTGTCTTTATTCGAATTCAACATCCAAATCTCTCTACTAATATATAAACCCTAGGAAAGCAGAAACTGGTTATAGCCACTTCAGTATTCCTAGAACCTGAATCTTAAGGTGCCTGGCACCTAGTAGACACATGATAAATATTCACTTGTTAAATTTGCCCCTCCATTTAGTGATACCTATCTACTGGAGAGTCACTAATGGAAAGAAACAAAAAAAATACTTCACACAATTTACCTGTAAAGAGGTTCTACAAGGTCCTTTTCAAGAAAATCATGATCATTCTTGACAGCCACAATGTTGATGGGAAACTGTGAATCTAAGAGGAAAAGGGGGAGGCAAAGAGGTTTATGCACAGGTTGTGTCTAAATGGGTACCAACATTTTCAGGCCACCAAGGTCTGCATAAACTACCAATCTTAATTGCAGTCATTGCCCATTCTGCCCATTATCATTATTGGTGGTGTTTAAAATAGCAGGCAATTTTATTTTTATCACAGTAAATGCTTTTGAGAGTACAATGTAAGTGGGAAATATGAGAATAATCAAGAGCTTGACCTTGGATAGGATTAAATACTAAGTGCCTGCATTTTTCTAGCTCATCCTTATTGCAGACAGCTGCTGATGCAGAGTTGGAGAAGAGCTTTTCCATTTTCACCATCCACCTAAAGCATAGGTCACTGACTTTTATCCTGATGATCTCAGGAAATACTTAGTTTAGCAGATTTCTTTTTCTTTCAAAAAGGACATTTCCCAAAATACCTGAAGTTCAATAGTCTCAAATGTTTTCTTTTGTAGTGGCATTCTGAGTCACTTTGAAGTGTCAGAAAAAGAGAAGAAGGCATTCCAACACCACGACTTTTCTCCAGCAGCCCAATTGTGCCAGCTTGGAAGGTCATTGGCAATATTTAGAACATGGTATTAGTTTATGGCACCTCATTTATATAGGCAGAACTCTGGAAATCATTGGCAAGGGAAGTCAGGGTCAAAGTTAATGACATTGGTTCATTATTATTTTCCTGATGTTCTTTCTCTTTCCTCTATGTATCTGGTGGTACTGGGGTTTGAGTTTGCCCCATGCACTTGTTAGTCAGGTGCTTGAAGACCTATCTATAGTCCTTTTTGCTCTGGCTACTTTTGAAATAAGGTCCTGCTTTTTGCCTGGGCTGCTTGGATCTCTGTTCTTCCTATCTATCCTTCCTGGTATGACTAAGATGACAGATGCATTTCTCTATGCTCAGGTTTTTCTATTGAGATGGGGTTTTTTTTTTGGTGGGGGGCTCTTGGTTGGTCTGCAACTACAATCCTTCCTGTCTTATGCTCCAAGAAAGATTACAGGCATGAACTACCAAGCCCAGATCTCATATTTTAGTATCTAGACTTTGCCAATCAGGCTAAATATTAGTGTATTTAATATTTAAATGTTATTTAACCATTAATGTGAGCTGGAAGTAGTAACAATTCTACCAGGAATTGTGTTTCATGCCCGTAATCCCTGCTCCTTGGGAGGCAGCCAGGAGGATCTTAAATTCAAGGAAAGCAACGTAATGTTTTCAAGACCCTAGCTCATAAACAAAATATAGACAAAAATGTTTTGAGGCATGGCTCAAATGGTAGAGAATTTACTTGAAGCCCTGGGTTCAATTCTCACCAAGTAAGTAAATAAATAAATAACAACAAGAAAAAAAGATGTCCTCTCCCTCTGGTAAAATAAATGATTAAATTCTAGCTGGTCCCCAAATGGAGACAATCTCATTCTACTGGCAAGTGAGCTGGTTAGAGCAAGAAATATAGACAGAAAGCCCAGCTGCCCTGGCTTCAAATCTTGACTACTTCTTAGCTATATAGTTTCAGGCCAGTCACCTAATTTCCTCTAGGACACTGTGTCTTCATTTGGAAAACTGGAAGATGATAATTATAATCTCTATCTTATGGTGGTATCTGGATAATAATGAATAATGTAAGTATTCTGAATAGTAGACCTGGCATGTGGGAAGCTCTTGTAAAGAGTATTTATTCCTATTGCTATCACATTTACTCAGTTCCTAAGGCTTGAAGACAAGGTCCATTTGTAACATAGACCTTTATGGACTCGTCATGTGTAAATCCCATGGTGTTCTGAGTTTCTAGAGAAGTGACACTAAAGAAGAGGTACTCACTGAAGGTCAAGAGACGGGGACTTTAAAGTTGTTCACTTAGAAGAGTCACTTGTCTAGTCTTTTTCTGGTCAGTAAATTGGTGGTGAAAAGTGCTAAGTGGGAGATTTAGCATATAAAAAAATCTTTCTTGTTTATGCTGAACACCAGTGGCTCATGCGTGTCATCCTAGCTACTCAGGAGGCTGAGATCTGAGGATTTTGATTTGAAGCTAGTCTGTCAGGGAAGTCTGTGAGACTCCTATCTCCATTAACCAGGAAACAAAAACAACACCAACAACTGGCTGGAAGTGGTAGAGGGCTAGCACTGAGTGAAAAAGCTAAAAGATAGTGCCTAGGCTCTGGGTTCAGTGCGCGCGTGCACACACACACACACACACACACACACACACACACACACACACACAATCTTCCTTGTCTAAAAGATACTCCATGAAGACTTTTACAGAGATTCTACAACTTTCAGGAATAAGCTCTCCTTTGTCTTTACACAATTTTTTTTAAAAATTAGAGAAAAGTGTTTTATTTTGTTGTTAAAGGTAACATTGAGTGTCCAGATAAAGTGACAGAGTCATCTGTTAATACAGGTTGATTTTGTTGATTCTTTCCCTCCAACACAAACTTCATGCCATCAGGAAGGGATGTTTTGAGTGTGAGGTATCCTGTTTACCTTTGCAGACCCATGCGCACTCCATTTGTCTACATCCTGCTTCATGCCCTGAGATCCCCCTGTGTGGTTGGATGGCATCCAGCGGGACTCATGCCCTCTGCCTTCCTTTTGTAGTTGTCACTGGGAATCCTTGACTGAAATGGGAGGAGGAATAGGAGGGCAGGATCTTTATGCACAAGAGAGGGCACCGATGGCCAGCTCTGTGCTCATTCCTAGGGTCTTCTCCAAGGATCCTCTCTGCTGGGCTCCAGCACCCACTCCCTTCACTCAGGTCTAGTGGAGTAGCAGTTTGCTGCTGTGTGGCCTGGATAGACAGAGTTATATCCTGTCTCCATCTTTGGGATGAAATGCCACCAGCAAAAGTCCTCCATTGAAGAGCCCACTTATGTCAGCTGCTTACTGTTGGGATGCAATGAATTCACAAGTGTAAGAATGATCCCAAAAAGGAACCCAAACTTTGGTTCTGATTTCAGATATAAGTGAAATACAGGTAAGTACATTTGTTAACTGTCACTTAAATAATCCATAAAAGCACTAGCAATAAAATCCTCTTCCCAGAAACTGAGGAGAATGACATCTGGCTCAAATTGTTCCTTCACATGTTTTCCCCTTTTGTACTAGGGATTGAACTGAGGGCTTTGCGCATCCGAGGCAAGCACTTTGCCACTGAGCCATACTTCTAGACTCTTTTAGCATTATTTTCAAGGTTGGGTTTTGCTTTCTGCCTGGGCTGGGCTGGGTTGTGATTCTCCTTCATGTGCTTTCTTGTGGCACTGGGGATGACAGGGATGCATTATTACACCTAGCCACTGTGCATCCCCCAGAGCTGGTATAACAGGTGCATACTACTGCACCCAGCCACTGGCTGAGATGGAATCTCTGAATCTTTTAGGACTAGGCTGGCCTCGAACTTCAATGTCCCTATTTTGACTTCACAAGTAGCTAGGATTACAGACTCGAACCCACTGAACCCGGCACTTTTGTTTTTCATATAAACAGAAATAGGTGAAACACATTGTCATGATACCTCTAAGAAAACAATTTAACAAGTAGTTGTAGCCAAAAAAAGAAAATCAAAGAGTAGTGAAGGAAAAAAAAACGAAAAATACAGAAGAAAGGAAAAGCTGCGGATAGTGGCAAATTGGAAAGCAGAGCCTGACAAGAATCAGCAATGGGAAGGTAAAATGAGTTTGGGAAATGATTTGCATTTCCAAAGTGCTATCATAATAAGCTTTGACACTACTCAGAGTGAGGAGAGAGGAGGCCAAGTGGGAGAAAAGAAAAGACTTGGAAACCAAAACAAGCCACAGGGTCCACATAACTCATTTGTATTCTCTTCTTAAAGAATGAAGAGAAATAGCCAGGAGCTGGTGGCTCACACTTGTAAATCCTGACTATTTAGGAGGTTGAGATCTAAGGATCAAGGTGAAACCAACCAGGAAAGAAACATCCTTGTGACCCATATCTCTGATGAACCAGCAAGAAAGCTGGAAATGGAGCTGTGGCTCCAATAGTAGAGCAAAGCTGAGCCACAAAGCCAAGTGGGAGTGCAAGGCACTGAGTTCAAACCCCAGTAATGAAGACAAAGGCTGACTTACCTTCATATAACTGAGCATATTGCGGAAATCCAGCTGCTCGGAGCCAGTCACATGCTTCCTTTGCCTCAATTTCTGAAAAAATACAAGGGGAAAAAAAACCATGATGAGTACAACAGCTACATTCTGCCTCATTAACCATAGAGAGTCTGCTGAGCTCTGTGAGAGCTCTTACACCGCAAAACCTTTTCCAGGTATATCTGCGAGTTGGCCTTCCCAGAAATGGGCGTAAAATGGACAGGGAACACAAAGGAGCTTGTTATGCATCTAACTGAGATTATCTTCACTGGGAACCCATAAGTACAAGGATAATAACAAAACCACACACGCCAGAATACAAAGGCTGAGTTTCAGGCAGGAAAAAAATACCTTATTTATACATCAGGGAACCAAGGAAATAGAAAGAGGAAAATTGTTACAATACTCTTTTTAATGGATTTTTTAAACAAAGGCTTTTTTGTTTATTTTGTTTTTACTTTTGTTTAGTTTGCTTGTAATATTTGGAAAAAATGCGTTGAGTATTGAGTCATTGGTAAAATGTAGCCTTATAAATTTATTTTTTTTGGGGGGGGATCCGGTCGTGGGGCCTGAATTCTGGGCCTGGGTGCTGTCCCTTAGCTCTTCAGCTCAAGGCTAGCACTCTACCACTTGAGCCACTTCCGGCTTGTTTCTTTTTGCTTATGTGGTGCTGAGGAATTGAACCCAGGGCCTCATGCATGCAAGGCAAGCGCTCTACCACTGAGCCACCTTCCCAGTCCCGCCTTATAAATTTTTAAGCTTCAGATTTGTATTTTGTTTCAATATGATACAATGAGTAGAAATGAGAAAATACCTAATTTCCAGACATGCTCTACACTCTACACTCCAAATGCAAAAACAGGCCAAGAGTACTTATTTAGCATTTCTCTATTTTTTTCACACTTGGGAAAATGAGAGATCATGATCGTGTAAGTCTGAGAAAATGTATTTTCTCATGAAGAAAGGTATTACGAAAATCTAATGTATTATTATTTCTTTAATTTCACTGATGTTTTTCATTCCCAGTGCATTATAACAAGATGTCCATTCATCAAACACATTGGAATGATTTCAAGCTCAAAGTGCTATGTGGAATCGAAACACATTGAGAACTGTGTTTGATGAGGCTTCCTGAACCAAGAAGGCCAAGTTCAAGAGGTTGATATGTCCCTGGGCGTTCATTTGTGGATTGGATGGACTAACAGTCAGCCTGACCACCTGGCTGGGGAAATTATGAGTGAGATAGACAGAGTCTAAAGTGTGTGAACCAGGTCACTGTTTGACCTTTTGAATCCTGGATCATTTTTCAACCCATAACTCCATTAGATAAACATGAACCCAAGGGAAAAGAAGTTCATCTGTCAAAAGTCCACTTTTTCCAAACAAAATTTAACAGCCTATCATAACAGGTCTCTACCAAGGCTTTCCTCTGCCATTGTGATGGACTCCTGTTGGGCCATGTTTTCATTTACTGTGATGTGCATTTTCCCTCATAGTTAAGGGGCTTTTGGGGATGATTGCACACACACACACACACACACACACACACACACACACACAAATTTACACTAACATCAGCATGGACCTGAGACTGTACCTTTACATTGAGAGTTCAGTGTCTGGACAGCACTACGTATGATGTGATTCAGCCATTTGGTATAATATTAAGGAAACAGACCAAAGGCCAGATTTTATCCAGCTCCCAGAGGAGGGGCAAAAGCAACAGTTCCTGTCCCACTGATCTGGTTTGAAACTTGTCAGTAAATTTAGGGAAGCAGAGACTTTAGTGACTCCTGCTGTAAAGTGTCTGTTTCTCTTAGCATCACCTAATCTGTGGTTATCACAGGAACTGATAACTTTTAAACTCCAAGTGTTGTCACTGGTTTGAGGGTCTTTTACATAATTTTAAACAGCACAAATCCAGCATGCACTCATTCCTGCCCCCCCATTGTTTGGACATAATGTGGGCACAAAGCTGGGTATGAAAGCTTTGGCAAATAGTTCTATCAAGAGAGGAATCTGTGATCCCCTAGGGCCATTCCAAGTGGAACTTCTGCTGCTTTGTACTACACTGGCTAACTTGGGTCTTCCTTTTGGAAACTCCAACAGACCATTAACAGATTGCTCAAACATTTGATTTAGTAGTCATTTTAGCGTCCTATGTGAAGGTACTACCTTGATAACCATAGGCGTATTTCAGAGCCTGGAGGAAATGCATATTTTATTTGTAATACTTGCAAAAATGTGTTGAGTTTGGAATCATCAGTAAAATGTGTCTCTATAAATTTTTAAGCTTCAGATTTATGTTTTGCTTCAATATGATACAGTGAGTAGAAATGCAAACATACCTAATTTCCAGACATGTTTTAAATTCAGTTATGATTCAGCAAGTCTTTAAGGGTAGGAAAGAAGTTCGAATTATGTCAGTACTATACCTTTTTCTGTTTCACTATTGTTTTTAGTTTGATCAAAAATGTGGTGTTAAGCAAGTTCTACTCCCAAAGAACCAGGTAATAAAGAAAAAATGGAGGACACCTGGAAGATATGGTCTTCACAGCATAGAAAGCTCGAAGAAGAGCAGGAAGTGAGCCTGAATCAGTATGCACCCACCAGGCCAAGGTAACACAGGAAGCACAGACCTTAGAGATGTAAAGGATGACAAGATGGAGAAGTGAGCATCCAGAGATCTTTCTAGAAAAACTCTTCTGGAACTGAAACTGTGGTTGAACAGTGGGTTGGAAGAGAAGCTAGTTAGAGAAATTTTATCTCTGAATAACTTCATTTTAAGGTCTAGAAAACTCTACTTTTACCAAGTAGTCATCTCATTGGTTAGGGATCGCTTTTCAATATAAATAAAAACTTAAGATTGCATTCACAATAAGATGAATTTTTGCTCAGAAAAATAAACCTTTAATTTTATATTTTTTTTGCAAGAACAACATTTGATAATAATGTGAAATCTTATCCATATAGAAACACAATCAAATCTAAACTAGAACCATCTAAGCTAACCATTCAAATAAGCTGAAGTTTTAATGATAGGTAAATATTGAGCTTTTACATCTCAGAATCAAATGACAACAAAAACTGCAATGTGCAAATGTAATAAATCAGAAGTCACATCACAGTCATGGTAGGTGGCTTCTTGAGTCATGGCTCACTTCCCAAACTCAATTGCCATGCAATTTGCCAAAATGTCCTTCAAACTCTTGCTCTTCTTTTTCATTATACAATAATATCCAACTATAGTTTACCTAGCAGATAATCCAATTCACTTGTGATGCACTTACATGAAAGTGAAAAAAATGGAGTAAGATATTCTTTGAAAATGGAAGCCAGAAATTGGTAATAGTTAAACTTTATCAGATAGCCATTAAGCCAAAAACTGTTAAAAAAAAAAGAAAAAAGAAAAAGAAAAGAAAAAAAAAGAGACAAAGAGGCTATGAGATTTTAATGAAGGAAACAACTCATCAAGAGGATGAGACAATCGCAAATATCTATGCCCAACATTACAATACATGCCCAACATTACAAGACATAAACATATAGAGCAAATTATTAAGAGATCTAATAGGAGGGATTTATTGCTAGCCCTATTTCTTGGTAACTCAAAGTCTTTACCAGCCAATGAGATAGTAAACATATAAAACTATCTAGCATAATCATCACTACCAAACTTGATTTTGCCTATCAAACTGAATTGAAAGGGAGATCTTCCAATTGCTATTGATCTTGCACAGTCCCCACTAACACCCATCATCCAAGTGCTAATGTGTCCCACAGGGCCTTTGTTTGCAGTGGCCAAAATATAAGATAATTAAAAAGAAATCATATTGCCAGTGCTCATTTCACAAAGATCTACCTAATGAGATTTAAATGATATTTGATGAGAAAAGGAGGAAAATCTCTTTTTTAATGTGCTCTTGTTAGCCAGTATCCTATTATGTAAAAGTATTAAGAGCTATTAAAATCACATTTTAACAATTTTATTTGTTCCCTATCTTCCCCTGTAGTAGCTTCTGGGCTACAAAGCAAATTGTCAACTCATTGCAACCTTCTTGCTGTAAAAATCCAAGTTGTGTAGTGGAACCAGAGAATGTCAATGGACAGAAGGACTTGAGTTTATTGCTCTACTGTACTACTCCTTTATCTTCACGGAGATAGACTCTTAGTGGATGCCTGAAGACATACATACATACATACATACATACCAATCCTAATATGTGCTATGCTTTTCAATCTGATAACTAGCATGACTACTAAGTGCCTGATGGGCAGGTAGCATATACAGTATACATACACATCCCAATTGTGAAAGAGTGTAATGAGATTTCATCATTTCAGGACAGTTCAAGGTTCAGAACTTCTACATTGTTTATTTCTGGCATTTTCTATTTCTTCCTGAGGTTCACTGTAAATAGCTGAAATTGTGGAAAGTGAAATTAAAAAACAGAGGAGTGAGGATTAGTCTAGTCTCCTGTGGGAAATGCAATCCATTTGGCTGGGTATTGTAACAGGAGAGTTTTAAGTAGTCTATGTAATAATCATGTCATTTTTTAGTATACCAAGTATCCATTTTTGTCTTCCCAACACTTGTCCTCACTTTTGAGAACAGAACCTCTCTGAATCTTCTGTGAGGTCCACAGCCCTCTCTCCTTGTCATACCTGACCTCACCAATGCCATTGACGTGAGGATGATCTGCTTCTTATCCATGGTCTTCCCTTTGGACTAGAGAGATCAGGAGCTTTGGAATCTCAAGCCAAGAGTCATTTGGTGGCTGAAACCAACTGGTTGAAAAGAAAATACTCTTTAAAAGAAAACTGGGGGTGGCTTGATCTGCACAAAAAACCAACAGCCTTTTCACTGGTTGACTCAACAAATTCGGTAGATGGTTTGGCCCTAAGCCTCCTCTTCTGCTACCTATCTGTGATTCCAACTAAGACAAAGTCACTGGCTTTGCCTCAATTTTGCTTGCTGCACTTGGGAACTAACTAAACTCCTCATATAGAACAATATAACTCCTAATCTGATTGAGAGCCACTTGTTAAGGATGTGA